GAAGCTGGGGGGAAGGACAGGAGGACGCGGCGGAGGATGAAAGAGGAATACGAGGTGAGGATGGAGTGGTGAATCTTGAAATATGGCGGTGGACATTCGAGAGTGGCCCGAACGCGTGTCACTCGAACAAATGCTACACTATTACAAATTATACGCTCGCTGCCGATCAACATAGGCACCATTCACTGAATGAAGAGCGCGCTTATGTTCAGCGATCCATCTGGTTCGCCCATGTAATCGAAAATGGTAATGGAAAGTATGTGCATGCTGCCACCGTGATACGTCAAGACGATGATCCCAGTAAAGAAACATAGATATGATGGGCCATTGAGTAATGACGCGGCGATGAGTACTTTGGTTTCCTATCAGATGAGCCACTGTACGAGAAGCCACCGATTCAGATGTGATGGACAATAGGATGACAGATCTGAGAGGGCTCCCGAGACGCTCTTGAGGGGCTAATGGGAGGATCCTCAGGAGGATACTGGGAGGGTTCTGGGAGGCTCCTGATAGGCTCTTGAGAGGGTCCTGAGATGCTCATGCCAGGCCCATGAGCAAATCACACGAGAGGCTCTTGAGAGGCTACTGAGCGGGGCCTGAGGGGTCGGCAGATTCTGAACTGAAAGAACATGGTTAAGAAAGATGTTGACCAGACGCTAGCATGGCCGCCCACAAAACATCCTGCCCGATAGGACAAAAACCCATCCGGAACCGCGAACGCACCGCGACTGCAGCCGCACGGGACCTGGCGCGAGACGCCACAGAGACCAACGATTGGCAAACGATGCTCGTTGCTCGAAGACGCTCTGATGCGAACAGCAGTGACTGTGTAGCTGCCTGCCAAAGTCGGGGCGACTTGAGACTCGGATTCGGGAGACTCGGGTTGGCCAAATGGGGCCATGAGGAAAATGGCGGTATCCACCCTGAAATTACACGCGACCTCCCGCTGCAAATATCCGACGTGCTCGTCAAACAGCGTTGGTAAACCCGAGTTCTGGCGCACTCGAGTCTTACGTTTCCCCTCACACAAGCAAAAAGGTAGTCGGTGCACGCAGTAAATTTCGGTACCCATTTGGGGGACGAAAAGTCATCGATTTTGCTACTCCCTGGACCTCTCCCCGGGGCGCGTTCGGACCAGGATGTCGAGGCGAATCCAGCGGTGGCGACGAGGGCCTCCAAGGAGGCCCCTGAAGGGAACACGGGCGAAGGGTAGCGGTATGGGTACCTTTTCCTCCTCCGAACTTTCGTTCGTGCCGACAGTCGGCGCTCATCTTCCTTCCTCCCATCTTCCCAGACCTGCTGCCGCAACTCCTCCTCTCCTGCTTCTTCGCCCCTGCCTCCTGCCCCCCGCCTCCTGCGCCCTCGCCCTCCCTCTCCCCCCTCTTGTCCTCCTGCTCCTCCTGCTCCTCCCGCTCCTGCTCCTCCTCCTCCTACTCCTCCTCAGTCGCTCCCTCCCTCCCTCCTCTTCTGCAGGGCTCAATGTGAATACTACTCTCGTCTCGCCGGATCCTGTCCGAGCGGAGCCCCTTTGCTCCCACATATTTCTGTAAGGTACAGATTACCGTACATCAGTTCTTCTTGTGGTTGAAATGGCTCTTTCGATCGTGACGCTATCGATGCTCAAAAACTGTGCTCCCGCTGCAGAGCCGGCCCCATTTTAGGCTTCAGGGTCGGAGCTCTGCCCTGGTCGTTCAGAATGGAGCTCTCGCCCCAGCGCGTGCCACAATCTGGACCGGCGTCCTTCCCTCGCCGCCGTCGCCCCGCTCCTCTCCCCGCCTCCGGCTTCCCTGGTCCTGCTGCTCCTCCCGCTCCTCGTTCTCCTTCCTGCTCTTGCCGCTACTGCTCCTCGTCCTCCTCCTTCCTCCTCCTCCTCCTCCTCCTCCTGCTGGTTCATCCTCTTGCTCGTTCGCCATGTCCTCCTCCTCCTCCTCCTCCTCCTCCTACTGCTCCGCATCCTCCACTGTGCACAGCTCGCCTTTCTGGAGTGCGCATAACACGAGTTGCACTTCCAGGTCCGCTATGACCCCCGTGGGCGCATAGAGAAACACTCAGCGCAGTGGGACAGGACGGGACGGATAGATAGGATGATAGATATGGCGCGAGCGCGCCCACCTTGTTCTAGCCCCTCTCTCCCCTCCGCCCCTCCCCTGCTCAGGATGTGCTACCCCAATTCGGCGTTGACCCGGGTCAGCCAGGCGAGATCGGAGGGGATTGGCCGTCCCCCGCTGCGTGCGCCTGGCCGCACTGGAATTCGGGGGAACAAGAAGACACCCCTACCGCCACCCCACGGACCTTTCCTCGCGTGCGCTCTGACCAGGGTTTCGAGGCGACTCCAGCCGTGGTGGCGATGGACCATCAGCGGCATCGGCACCTCTTCCTTCCTCTGAGGATCGCGCCCTCCTCGCACCGCATGCTACATCCCCCCCTCCCCGCGCCACGCGCGCCGCCGCCTCCTGGGGCAGCCCTGCGCGCCCAGCCGTCTCCGCCACGTCCACCCAGC